CAGTCTGACAATTGTTTGAGATACAAAGTGAGCTTAAATCCAATCTTAACCTTGGCGGCTTGGAAAGACCCTGCATCAAAACCCAAAAACCAAAACAAACAAACAAAAAACATGATAGAAGGATGTAAGGATATGTCTCAGTGGTAGAGTGCTTGCTTACCATGTGTGAGGATACGGGTTAAATCCCCAGTACTGGGGTGGGGGGATTGCAGTTCTACCAATTCATAATTATGCGAATGTTATATCATTAAATCTTTTAAGCCTCAGTTTCCTGTCTTAACAATGAAATACCTATCAGTTTTGAGAAAGCAGTGTGTTTGGGTTTTACACAGCCATTTGCCCCACTCATTCATAACATTTACTACCTTAGATATACTTTACTCTTAAATACTGATTATCTATATAGACCTTTCTGCCTGCCCTGGCTAGGGAATCTCCCTGGCCCCTACATATTACAAAATATCTGAGAATCATTATGTCAAGTTTTCCAAAAGCCAAAGATAAACCATTCCATCCCAACCTTGGTGAATATGTACAAACGAGTGGGCCCAGGCATGAGTTTCACTGAGTGCTTCTTAGTTTATGAGACGTTTAGGAGTCTATTTCAGAAGCATTTTCTTTGTTGTGGATTCCATGTTTTAAAACACTAAATCACTATTTTACCTCAGTATTGGATAAAATCTCACTTGTTTGGAATATGGTAATAATCCAATAATAATTAATAATAACAATAATAAGTAGTAGTGGGGCTGGAAAGATGATCCAGTGAGTAAAGTGCTTGCTTCACAGGCAAAGATTCAAGTTCAGATCCTCAGTACCCTGAAAAAACTGGACATGCTAGTATTGTAACTTCAGTGCTAATGTGTAGAAGGAGGAGGATTCCAAGGGGTCATTGGCCAGCCAACCGAACCAAAATGGAAAAGGCCAGGCTCAATGAGACACCCTGCCTCAAAAAATAAGGAAGAAAGACAGATGAAGCCATCCAACATTGATTTCTGGCCTCTATATGCACATACATAGGTAAGCATATCTGCACATACTTGTGAAACAGATAAGTGATGATAGAGGCAGATAGATAGATAGGTAGGTAGATAGTAGATGATAGATGAGAGAAATGTACAGAGATGAATAGATAGATGATAGAGATAGAAAGATAGATGATAGATGATAAAGAAATGACTGATTTATTGATAGATAATCGAGAGATAAATATATAGGTAGGGATAGATAGATAGATAGATAGATAGATAGATAGATAGATAGATAGATAGATACATAGATGGATACACAGGCAGATAGACTGATTAGATAGACCAAATGCCAAAGCCATGCTGCTCATGTGCATAGGGCATAAGAGCATATTGCCCCACACCTCTGTATCCAAAGCATATTCCAGGCATCAGCTGTTTTCACTCAAGTACTGACTGGATGACTGCTTTCAAGTGGGTGTTAGAAATACTAGAAGACACCTGTACCTGAGTTAATATTGCTCTCCATCTTCATCACATCGTGCTACAATGTCACACAACTAAAATTAATCCACTGAAGAAGGATGCACTAAAGAGACAGAGGCAACCAGAGTGGACCATGAGATATAAAGAAACCAGTAAACAATGTGTAGCTAAGAGACATTTGCCCATGTAGACTCCTTAATGTTCATAACGGAACCTGAGCGATGTAAGAAGCTAACAGAAGAGAGTTGGTGAAGAGTATACAGAAGACCATGGACAAATCTCTGCAAATCTTCTGAAAACAAAAATATCCAAAACATATTTTGTTTATTTCAAAAATGCCACTGTTAACACTACTAAGCTGAGACACACCTAGCTGGATAGCATCTGCAACCCCTCACTCACAATTCCCATCCTGAAAAAGAGTGGATTTCAATAGGAGGGCTTTCTCTGGAAGACAGAGGTTAGAGGGGGAGGCAGGGCGCTTTCTGAGTACACAATGTTTAGAGAGTTTGCAGAAAATCAATGTCCCATCAAAATTTGCATTCTGTCCATCAACTATGTGAAGCCTTTCTGATTATCACAACTAATTATGGTTAGGCAACACCACTGGATGCCTGGAAAGAACAGAAACAGCATTTGTTTCTAGGGGTGGAAGAGCTAATCCAACCTTTTATGCAGGAAAAAATCAACCCTGGGAAATTTACAAAGGAAAACTGGTAACAATGTCTCCCACTTTGGAACTCTCTCCTCCTGTTTCTCCTACCACCTGTTTCCCTTTCCAAACAACTGTGCTTTTACAGTGTAACATTTGACCCAAATTTAAAGCACTGGTCAGGAAATGAGCTAGCCCATGTTTTAAAGATGCTGAGAGCTCCTCATAGTGGTACAGTACTGCAATCCCAGCACATAGGAGGCTGAGACAGGAGGATTGCAAACTCAAGGCAAGCCTGAGGCACAAAACAAAAACGTGTTTCACAGAGGGATGGGAAGGAATGAAGAAAGGAATGGAGGAAAAGAGGGAGGGAGGGAGAAAAGGAGGGAGGGAAGGGTGAGATGATGAGAGAATTAAAAACAGAGATTGAAGGAATCAGTATAGGATCAGGACATGCCAAGACCAAGTTCCCAGCACAAGGAAGATTTACTTGTCCCAAGGGGACTAAGGGCAGGGAATATAAGACAAAGACAGGAGAGAGAGTACAAGGGAAACAGAGAAGGGAACTAGGGAGAGGGAGTGGGGGTATTTGTCTCAGATGGACAAAGGGCTGTTCTGGATAGAAAGGAGACAAATGGGGGCCATAGATAAATGGTGATTTATAAAAGTAAAGGGGAAAGCCCATGTTAGCATGAGGTGTTTAGTTTTAATTGGGCATGCTAGTTGAGTGAGCCAAAGGGGGCTTCTGATCTCTGGACTTCAATACTTTGTTAGCTGGGCCTTGGAGTCAGCCTCAGGAGGAGGAAGTGGCCTAATAAAGGGAATAGACCTTGGGGATTAGCTTTAGGGATGTAATCTAGCAGTTTTCAGCAAGGCAAAGGGAAGAGGGAGAAGAACAAGTCCTGCAGAACTATGACTGCCATATTCAGGCTGGCTAGAGTCTCTTCAGGGATTAGTGTTCTATGAAAGCATTGTTGAACAAAAAGGAAAAGGAGATGTAGACTGAGACTATCAAATCCACAGTCAAATCCAGCAAGTGAAGAATAACTCAAAAAAGGAATCATCTTCCCTTCTCAATGTGTCACAAATACATGCATCTTTCTTTTCATTTTGTAATGGTAAGTCACTATAGCTCCCACAATGCCCAGGGAGTAGTTTTATATTCAGTTATGTTTGTCCTAATTTTATGAAGGGCTGGTCTAATTGTCCATTGATCAAATCAGATAGATTCCTCTCCAGTTTCTTCTCCATCAGCCAAAATGGGTTCTGTGGCTGCTCAGCTTGTTAAGGCCTTGGTAAGTAGTCCTAACTCATGTAGTCCTCACCTCTCAGAGAACTCCCAAGATCATTCCATCTTCTGAGCATACACATTTTAGGTGACTATAAATCATTGAAAAGATAAATAATTCTTTACAAAGAAGCTAATTTTTACTGTTAATTACTATTTTGCAGAGAATTTACCTTTCTAAAGTGAATTTGGCTTACAAGGTTACACAATCCTACTGTTCCTATTAGTCAGATGCTCTCAAGAATACTTGGGGAGAAGGACTGGGTCAACCTGGAAGAATTAAATGAAAACAATGTCCATAGCAAGTCTTGTAAGGATACAATGTTGGTGATAGCGCCAGTGGAATTCTTCCCTGGGGTTTAACAGGAACATCCTCCTGTAGTGTTGTTCTCTTTTATGTCAGAAGACCACAAAGCCAGGCCTTATGAGACCTGTAATTCCAGCACAGGAATATCTAGAGGTCAGTGTGAGCCAGGGCTATATAAGAGCTCAAGGGTACCCTGGGCATTAGTAAGTGAAACCCTGTTTTCCTAATAAAAGGCAAAATTAAAAAAAAAAAAGATTGAGTATGTTGACCACTAATATAACGCCATCCCAAAGAATAATCACACACACCAAAGTGGCTTCTAGAAGACACCTGAGTTCTGCAGTCCCTGGACATCCACCTCCCAGCAGTCACTTATGCTCAGCACAACTTTAAAAAAGAGCCCCTTATTTAAAGAGAATTAATTAGCATTCCTCCCCTGACCTTCTGCCTGTGCATTGAGGAAAGCTGGGTACTCAACACCCCTCCCCCCCCAATATACACAGATCAGGTATTAACCATCAAGGCCAGGTTTCAACATCCCCACTAACACACACACACACACACACACACACACACACACACACACACAAACACAAACACATGGGGGGGGCGGTTAGCTATAATGACCAGGACTTAACATTCTATTATACACACATGGGGGGTATATGTCTTTTTTATGAAGTCCATTTTATATTTTAAAAGATAAAATTCTAAACTTGTTCCTTGAAGCAGTATGAAACCTAAAACTCAACCTCTGAAGGCAAATAAAACAATTGGTTAACAAGTGATCCCATCAATATGAACCAGTAGCAGGGATGGTGGTGCAAACCTTTAATCCCAGCACTTGGGAGGCAGAGGCAGGTGCATCTCTGTGAGTTCAGGACAAGCCTGATCTACAAAAGCAAGTTCCAGAACAGGCTCCAAAACTGCACAGAGAAACCCTGTCTCGAAGAACAAAACAAAAAGATGAACCAGTAACTCACACAACCCAATTAACATGAACAAAATAAGACGGATTATTAACAAATAAACAACCTAAATCTAACATGATGGCCAAGTAAATAGGTCAACAACAATGAACCAATCAAGTAATCTAGTATTTAATAGGAAACCAAGTAGATCACTATTTAACAGAGAACACAACCAAGTCAACTCTTAAGGTGCCAAGTTCAGCATCATATCAAACTGTGAAATCTAACTCATCCTTGAGTTGCTCCTTGCTGATCCAGACAGGCCCCAGGAAATCCTGTCACACCACTGCCTATTGGGACTAGAAGTGGCCAGTATACCCGTACTTACGGAGATTATTTATGGGGGTTCTTGTGTCCATGTTCTCATAGTGCTGCACGTGGACGACAATGTTAAGGTCTCTCTCCATGTGGTCAGTGTTGCAGTGACCCTGTGGCCTCATGACATCTGCAAGGGCTCTGGAGGAACAAAGAACAGAACACTGCTCATTCGCAATATGACAGCATGTACCTGCCATGTGCCCAGCACTGCCCAATTAGACAAAAGACAAAGCTATCCCTTCCAGAGAGCCACCATTCCAGTTAGGATAGACAGGAAAACACAGAAGTAATAAATTGGAGGTTACAAAGTCACTCTATGCACAGGTCACTGGCAGGTCAGATGATTAGCTCATGCAGTGTGGCTCCACCCCAGAGGCTGACACAGATGCCTATACTTCCTGTTTAGCAATGGCCCAGTCCTTGTCATAAACTAATTATTAACCTAAGCACAGAAAGCAATGGCATGGCATCCCTTACCAAAGCCAAAGAATATAGACCATCCATTTACTCCTTTACAGAAGAGTGGATGAAGACTCAGAGAGGTGAATTAACCTTCCCAAAGTCACACAGCCAGTATGTAGCAAAGAGACACCAGCCAACCTTTTCTTTTTACTCATATTTTATTTTTCTTTTTAAGAGGATAGGAACATAGTTAGACTGATATTGATGGACATCACAATGAGATGTAAACTGTGTTTGCACTTAGAACAGATCAGACAACAGTCAGACACATGTCACATCCTAAAATCAGACCAATATATACATCTCCCTCTTTATTTACCCTCCATGACATGTGTACTTAGAGATATGCAAATATTCTTAAACATATGTAGTACCAGAGTGTTATTTGCATGTGAATCCCTCCACACATGTGGTCTCCTTGAACCTCCTTCTGTTTTCTCCTTTGTTCATGCACATGAAGCTAGGGGGAGTGCTGACTGCTCCAGCCTCTTCACTACCATATCCACTTACCTGCAAGGATGGCTGTCTCTATCTGCAACCCTAGCAAGGTGGATGAACCAACCAGCCACAGTGGAGCTACAAGCATGGAGGTGTTCTGTGAAAAACCAGTAGATGCATCTCTGTTATTATGAACAATCCCAGGAACCAAGACTTTGGCAAACATCTTCATATCAATCTCTTCTTGGCCCAGGAAGAAGTGCATACCTGCAAGCCCTGCTTCCATTTTTAGGGGATATAACCAGATGTTCCTAGCCAAGTAGACTCAGAGGATCCTTATCAAAGAAGACAGAGAAAGGGGAAACACTGCTTTGGAGGGGTCCAAACAGATTCCCAGGAGCTCAGCAGAATTTATCTGCTGAAGGAACCCCTCCACAGCACTAATAAGCACAGCTTAAACTGTCTAGATCCATCTGAATCCAGAGGGTTTAGAAACCTCAGAGCTGGGGCATGTGGCAGGTGCTTTTGAAAGCCCTCCTGTGCACCGACTGTGTGCTTAAATTCAATTTTGTGTCTGTGCTAGAACCACGGAGAGCTGAATGAGAAAGGTTTGATTGTGGCGACAGGCTGTGGCCAGAACCACAGCTAGGGAGAAATCTGAAGGAAGAGAGACCAAGGGCAGTAAGCCAGAGGCTGCAGGGGCTAGAAGCCAAGATGATATCCATGAAAAGGAGAATAACAACAGCTCACACTCATTTGTTCATTCAACAGATGTTTATTGTCTACAGTATGCCATGCATAACATGAGGCCCTGGGGATACAGCACTGCACAAGCTGAAAGAGGTCGTGGGCTTCTTGGAGCTTACATTCTATGGAGAGAATAAAAATAAATATGTTAAATAAAAATAAGCAAGAGCTGAAATAAACAAAGAAGGATGCAGCCAACAGAGCCAGGAGCCAAAACAGCATTTTCCATAACAACCACAAAGTAGAAACAGTCCATATGTCCATCAGCTGATAAGCAGAATGCAATGTTTGAAATGGAATATTACTCAGCCATGAAGAGGAAGAATGGAGCCCTGACACCAGCTCTAACATGAATAAACTTGAAAATCTTATGGCCAGTAAGAGAAAGCAAACACAAAAATCCTGGGTTTTTATGGATTTTTTTTTTTAACAGCAAATGTCTAGAATAAACAAGTCAATAAAGAGAAAGTACAATTATGTATGCAGAAGCTATGTGGGAACTGAGTAATAACAGATAAGGAATGATTTTGGTTGGGGAAGCAGTTTGTGCTTCATTAGATTATTGCATCTTAAAATGGGAGAGGTAGGGAGAGATGCCAGGGCAGCATTCTATGAAGAAGTGAGACTTGAGTGAACAGAGATAGGCTGGTCATGTCAGGCCATAGTCTGTGGACTCAAAGATGTATGTCAAAGGTTCAGTTTCCATTAACACTGTGGATTATAGTGAGAACTTTACAAGGCAGGGATAGTTGGAGGTCTTCAGGTTATTGGAGGCATGTCCTCAAGAATTGTGGGACCTGGTGTCTTCTGTTCTGTTTGCCTTTCTGTTCATGAAGAGAACAGCTGTGCTCCAGCACATGCTCCTGCCAAGGCATGCTACCTCATTGCCAAGGTCAACATATTATGACCTGAAACCTCCAGGGCTGTAAGCCAAAATAAACCTGTTCTCTGTGTAAACTGATTAGCTTGGATGTTTGTTACAGTAACAGAAAGCTAGCTCACACACATGAAGGTGACAGAAATAACATGTCAGGCAGGACATAGGGAAGAATTAGGCAAGCAAGCTATAAAGCTGGAACAGGGCAAATGGGGAAACATCACAAGGTATAGATTGTCATAACCCATTTTGAAGATCAAGGAACTACCCACTTCAGCTCCACCACTCACTGGAGTCAGTGGAGTCCCAGTCCTGAATGTCTGAAATAAAAGTTCATGCCCTTCCTACCTCTGTGCAATAGGCATGTTCTGAAACTATTCAGGAAGGCTTCAGGGAAGGGGAGCTCTGAGAGCAGAACAGGGCCTTGCAAACCTAACTTGCCTTTTTCACTTCTAAACGGGCTCTTCATCCTGGGCTTCAAAGGATCGCTGAATTCCTCTGGAATTGAATGAAAAATTTGTTTGTGCTGCTTTTTTTTTTCTTGAGCAAAGAAGCCATAACTTTCATCAAATTCCCCACAGGCTCACCCCCAAAGTACCAAATATTCAAGCTTTCCAGAGAACCACAAAGCAAGGGTTTGGAGTGGCAACCTTCAACCTAGCTGGCACAGGTCTCTGGGCAGCTTCTGGGTACTGGGAACTGTGATACTCCAGCTTCAGAGTCAAAAGGCAACTGTCTCCCAGTGCTGTCATTCATAAGGCATGCAGTGGGACCAAAACCTAGAGATCCAGTTCTGGATGCAGAGCATCAACAGCATTCTTGGCTCATTCCAGTGGAAAAGACTATGCCAATATGGCTTTTGGTCATTAAAATGAGAAAACAGTTCACTTCTGTGTGTCGATGCCATTCTCTGCTGGATTCACACAGCAGATGACAGGAGTCAGGGACCAAGGACCAGGGAAAGTAGCCACCAGAGACACCCTCACCAAGACAATAAATTATAAACATTAGATCAGGCATGAACATTATAAACATCATGAAGCAGATACATGGCTAAATGAAGAGCTTTCCTCTATAAAACTACAGGCCAAAGGCAAGGCTGCAATAGTAACAACACAGTAGGCCAGGTGTGGTGCTGCACACCGGTAATCAGCAATGGGAATTCCTGCCCAGACAGGAATATGGTAACTCTGAAGCTACCCTGGGTTACATGGGGGAGTTCAAGGCCATCCTAGGCTACATAGTGAGTCCCCATTGAGAAGCAGAGCAGACAGAGGGAAAAGGGAGATGGGAAGCAGAATAGAACAAAGGTGAAGGGAAGCAAGAAATGACAGTAATGGAGGGAGAGATGGAGAGGAGAGAAAAGGAGGGAAAGGAAGAGGAGGTACAAACAACTCTACTCTCCATTAGCTGTTCACAAAGTTAAAATGGGAGTGGTCCATTCAGATCCAAACTAAGTCATCCCCCCCCCCCGCAAAAAACTCAAACTCTCAAGAATCACATTCAAAACACGGATTTATTTATGTGTGTAGAACATTATCTTTAGTGTACACAGTGCCTTGGAACTGTAGTTAGTGGAAGCAGGAAGACATCACAACTAACTGCAGACTTCAAATAATTTTTATTTTTCCCACCTTCTACACAGTACAAAACTTTCTCATGCAAGCTTTACAATACACCTTATACTTGTGCATAGGTTCTGGTGTATGCTAATTAACAAAATGAGCATTTTATGGGATACATACTAAAACATTTTTAAGCAGGGAAAGGATCATCTATTCATCACAAACAAAACAAACCAACACTGAAGGGTTTGACACCCGGTTCTGGTGTCTGTTCAGCTTCATTGTGCTTATAGAGGACATAAGATTATCTGGAAATCTTACTAAAATGAAAATTCTGATTCAGTAACTCAGATAGGACCTAAAAATTTGCTCAAGCTGACAATACTGCTAGTCCATAAAGATCAAGATACTACAGGTGCTGATGCTGTATGTACTACAGTAATTTGGCTACATTGTGCCAAGATGTTTGACAAAACTATTTTCTGGGTGCTTCTGAGAAAGTACTCTTGGATGAGATAAACATGGAATTGGTAAACTGAGGAAGGTAGATTTCACATTGTAATGTGGGTAGGCCTTATTCAATATTTAGGAGTCTAAATAAAGTAAAGGATTGACCCTTTCTCAACTAACAGAATTTTTCTGCCAGATGGCCATGAAACTTGAACACTGATTCTTCCTGGTTCTGTAGAATGCTCTCTGTCAGCCTTCAGGCTTGTCCTCAGATAGCAGCTTGTTAAATTTTGGGCTTGATAATTCTGTATAAGAAAGCTTTTGATATATTGATTCTGTTTCCTGGATCATTCTCTCATTTGTGTCCCTCATAGAAGAAACTACACTTAGACTCCTTTCCTCCCTTCCCCTGCCATATACATTCTCTTAACCTAGTCCATGACAACTGTGTCTTTGTGGTTGAAAAATGATTGAATATTGGCAATTTGGCAAGCTTCAACCTACTTATCAATTTTCTTGTACATTTCATTGTGTGATACCTATCCCTCCAATATGTGACTAACAGCTCTGTGAGGGAAAGAATTGCATCTGTGTCTGTC